TTCTTTTCACTGATTCGAGAATTAAATGAAAAGTTAAGTCGGCAAATGTAGTCAGCGTGATATTAGGTTAATTGTGGGGCGAAATGAGTGTCCAAAGAATTCGCTGTAGAGATAATTTTGCTGTAGAGAATCCTTATTTAGTAAGTGAGAACCTCATGCTGGGGTTAAAAAATCGTTTTAGACAAAATGTTTGTTAAGAGAGTGTACTTGTACAGTATAAGCATGAATTCTTTATAAAGAGTTTTACACCATATAACCATGGTCATGCAAATGCTCCAGAGTATGTATACGCAAACAAAGGACGTATAATTTCTGAAATTTCCTGCATTGAAAATTTTCTGAAGGAGTTCATTTTCTGAATTTTCAAATGAAATATCCCGTTTAAAAAAAAACGCTTTTAAATGCTTTGTAAATGCGGGCAATTCCACCCATAACTCTTCAAAAAATGTAAACTGCGCGGATTAGGGTATCATCCTTTCAACAGAAACGCTTGTCATCCCAAGATTAACTAGACTTACGCCGGGGGATCAAAAACGTTTCTCCGCTGCTGTGTGCAGTGAACCGCATATATACGGGAAGTACGTTGCACATACTTTAACGAGTGCATTCAGAATCTTCTCACGAATCCCCGTTAATATTGCGGCTTTGTTTTAATGAGTCTCTTCCCCCCAGAACACCAAATAGCTCATACCCCAAAGTAAAAAAAAAAAAAAGAATAGCTAGAATTTTGAAACGTTATAGGGGGAACCTCGCATCCTGGGAGATCTTCGTGTACTGTATATACTGCATATAAGCGCATTCGAATGCCTGGCGCGTTTCCTCCCAAGAATTTCATGCGTTCGGCGATTAATTACCCTCAACCGACACCGCGGCTGAAGGTTGAGATATTTTAACGACTGCCACCCCAGAGCTCCAGGCATGAAAACATTGCCGGAAAGTTCGTTTCCTTCCTCGTTATTACGAACCCGCTGCGGGTGATGATGGCGGCGGGCGAGGTCGCGGAAGTTGGAAGGCCTGCGGGTTTTCGTCCGTGTTACAAATTGTTCACTTGAGAAGCCCACGACCATTGGAAAAATCGAATAGAAATAAATACAAAAAAGACATTTACAAAATGGGCGATTTCGATGAATTATTTGTAAATTACAAATTGAATCTTGGTCGATAGTGATAATTTTGCTTGTGCTGCGGCAATATCACGCGACGACGCTCTAACCCAGTTGCTACTTTGTTTTCAATTTAAAAAAAAGAACGACATTTCGTGAAGCGAACCTTGAGAAAATTGTTCACACAGATACATTTCAGAATTATATCATTGTCATGTACAGTATGACGAAAGAAATCCACTGCAATAAGGATATCGAGCTGGGCATTCGAAAAGAGAAAATTCGATTCAGTGGTTCTATACAGTACAAGGAGAGAAAAAAGCCTATGGCTACACCATTAATTATGAATGCCTTTTTAAATATATTATTTATTTTTATGCAGGTAAACATATTCCTAGGAATTTTTGACGTACTTCACGTAGCGCTAGCTTCAATATCGCGTTTGTTCGAGAATATTTTTGGTCAAGTGTCAGTGTTTTCTTCGAAGACTGATTGAGGCTTTTCGTTGTCGTATGTTCTGCCTTCTTTTCCGATGAAAATGGTAACACATTTCATAAATCACGACTGGAGCGGATTATTTGGAATAATCGGGCAGTTTGTTCATGTAATATCCCGAGGCCAATAAAACGAAAAGTGCACTAAAATTTTTCAGAATTCAAATGAAGATGCGCGTTTGAAAATTTGAACGAAGGTAATTGTGGCGGAAATTGAGGATTCGGCCAGAAAAAAAGACTTCCTTTCAGGTTTCAGGTTACAGCTTTTTATCGGAGCTGCTGTGTCAAAAACAATTGCTCAGACTTTTTCAATAATTTAATACTTTTATTTTTTTGAGAAGCATTCAAAGTCAGAGGGTAGCTCGAAGTGCAGTGTTTTGTTCAAAGATGAAATAAATACATAAGTCTCACTTCCGCTTTTTCCATACCTCAAGTGAAAAAATCAACAGAAAAGAAGTATACTGTAAGTTCCTTGGATTTCTAGAAGCGAGACATTTCGCGGAGAAAAATCCTCTCTTCGTTTGCCCCAACTTGTTCCGGCTTTTTTGTGGTGAGAAGTAATCGGTATTTAACGCCCTGGAGCCGAGGTCAACCTCACGCTCATTTACGTCATTAGTATTCAAGAGAGGATCTGTTGAGTAGTTACTGATGGCCTCCGCCTTCGTTTCATGTTCCGCGAGAAATTCCTTCATGACTGTTAATTTTTTATTTCTTGAATTTCCCTGGGGGGACGAGGCAGATAAATAAGCCCAAGATTAATGCATTGAAACCAGAAAGTTTAAAAGGAGGAAACCTTCAGGTTGACGGATGGGAAATGCGCTTTCTCTGGGATTTTCTTGCCTTTCACGTACCTTTGACTCACAAAATAAAAATATCGTACGTTTATTTTCCGATCTTCTTGAGATTCATTTTTTTAAATGCCAGCTGCATAATTCAGGAATGAAGTGTGAGGTAATACAGTATTTTCATCAACTTTATGAGGTTGCCATGAGGCTCTTGCTCCAAAATTACCTTTAGGATCACTGCGGGGGAAAATTAAATACTGTACTGTCGCCAGTACAGTAATTTTAATTCAGAAATTTTGCACCGACCTCAATCATTTCTGTTGTTCTTTCAAATAGCATGGGAATATCTCTTCAAGGTGCTGAATTTTGATGATTTATTGGAAAGTGATCATGGGGTGATCGGAGATGAGATTTAAAAAGATTGAAAGGTTCTGAAGAAGGTGAGTAGAATTCTGACTTATTTATTGCGTCAAATTTCTTGAATTGACGCCTCAGATAATAACGTCTGACCATAAACTTTCGTTCTGGAAAAAATCAATGATAGTCTCCAAAATATGATCATGGCTGCTGAAAATCCTAATTATACCATAATTTCTCCGAAGCACATGAATTCACGCACATATAAACTTGGAGAATTTTCAATCTTTCCGAAATTTGTAGAGTTTTGCAATTCTATAATCGCGTTACCTTCAAAGTCTAGAGGTTATATTGCATCATTAAAAGGGCAAATCAGTCGTTTGAAAAACATTTATCAATACAAAATTTACAAATAATGAAGAAAAAATTCTGCGTAAATTCCTTGGACAACACGTTCATCCACGATGCGTACGAGGATGGTTTTTTTATTTCCTTGGATTACGGTCCGTTGAAATTTTTGATTTTCTCTCCGCTATTGTTCAACGAATTGGAGAAAAAAAGGTGGACAAATAACAACAACTTCAGCACAACAATAACGAGAGCGGTCAGGCGTGGCATTCCGTTCTTTCGTGGTGAGATATCACAATTCAAACGATCAACTGCACGCATTGTGGCTTCAAATTCATCTCCCATGCGAAAGTTTTTTCGATAGTTATTTTTCACCGCCTCGTTTTCGGGAAGAAAATTTATTTTCAAAGTCACGCCTGGGCACTCCCAAAATTTAGGCTCATTCATGGGAATCTAAATGTCGCGCGTTTATAGAGAGCTACACGGCGATAAACACACATAAGACGCATTTATCGTGGACAATTTTCGGATTCGAGTAAAATTAATTATTTTATCCATGCAGGGATTTTGGGGGGAAATATATTTGCAGAAATGAATCAGTTTTCCTCGCTTTTAAAGTCACTCATTTTCGAAGCATCAGTGGAAGAGCGATGAAAAATAAAACTTTTATCTTGATCGACGCCCGTGACTAAATGCTGGACAGGAACCTTCAGACACCAGGAATCGCCACGCAGAAATTCTCTCGCGAAAATCTCAACGCAATACAGCTTTGCACAGGAAAAAATGAAAAGCAAAGCAAAAACAACAAGCAGCAAAAAAACAAAAAAACAAAGACCTTGGCTGTTGTTCCGGCTGGGAATCCCGATGGCCCCACGCCATCAATCAAGTATTTCGCCTGGGATTCCAGCGAGAGAACCTGATATTCCTTTGTCATGATTGTTATTTCCCCTTCAGCTCTGCTTCACTCATCCTTTTTCTCTGATGTCTCCACCCAGCTCTCTTCCAACACGTTCTTATATAGCTGCTTTTAAAGCCAACTGTGAGAAGGATTCAAACGAGTAGGCAAATTCAACTTGAAAAAAAAACTAATCTGCATTCCTTCTGGAACTGCTGGGGGAAAATTTTACGAATGAGAAAGTTATGCAATAATGCGAGTGTGAGATTCTTGGCTCACATACCTCCAACTGTCACCTTCAGTGAAACTCGAGACTTTTATTTTAATATCTCTATATTTTTGGCATTTATTCGAGAAAATTCAGCAACTGGATCATGTTTGAATGGTTTGTCTTGAGGTTCAATACGTAGAGTCCAGACTCTCAATTTCGGATCCATCATTTTAAATTCGCTCAGATCAATAATTTTTTCGGCTTGTGAAGTTTTGCTTGGTAGAGTATAGAGGTGCTTGGAAGTGGGACAGCACCTAGATAGACTCCTTCAATCTTCATAAAGAAGCGCATCAAACTTTTCTATCTGCGTGTACATTTTCGGAATCTTCATGCTCGTTGCATAAATTCAACTGAAGACATGAAATTAGACCACAGAATTCGTGCAACAGATAATCGAGGGAAGTCTCTTAGGAATTTCAAGATTGCTTTATACACATTTGAGAGAAATTATTGTTTAAAAATATGTCCTCTTCAATTTTATCGACTGCTTCTGACATTTTTAAAACTTCGGCCAACAACCCAGCGTAAGAGTTGTTATGAAAAAAAAGTATACACTTTTGTTTGCAGAAAAAAAAAATTGGTTGAAAGACATGTAACGGAGACAGGTGATAAAGTCCTCACCGATTTTGTAAATTCTTTTCGAGGAGCTGTCGACGGATTCCATGAATTTTTCCTACGTCCCCAGCAAACAAAAGCAATTCAATGGCGAATGAAAAACACGTTCTTGTTGATCTCGATGAATGCGTTTCAAGCTTGACGCGTAGTGTCAGAGCCATCATCACGTTCGGCGTTGAATTTCGCATTCCACTGCTCATCCGAAGCATCGAGGGTGATGCGAATGCCGAGATCACCTTGACTCAAATTCCGCTTGGATTATGGGGCTTTTGAAAATGAGTTTCCATTTACTTTGGTCGTAAAAACTTGAGCCGACTTTGATCCCCACGAGAGAAGCGCAACGATTATTGCAACTTCCTGAAAATGCGGGACAAGAAAGATTTTGAAGTGCTTATTGATTCACAGTTAACTTGTGGCATTCATAGAAAGCTCTAGTATGTCTAGTTCTACCAATAGTGGCCAAAATGAATGCATAAAAATGAATTAGATCAGTGTTACCCAACTTTTTTTAACCCACTGACCGACACATTTCCACCAAATTTTTTCTTTGGGCCGGCCAAGTTGAATGAAAATTCTTGCAGACTCAAGGAAAGCTGCTTCGTTTGTTATTGACTGAATTTTTGCAAAAAGCAGGAACTTTTACATTATAAAAACTTCATTGCAGGTAGTTACATGTTCCTGCTTTTTGCAAAAATTAATAACAAAATTAATAACAAATGAAGCAGCTATAGCGAGTGGAATGTCTTCAAAAAATCAGAAAGGTGGGCTTGAAGAAAGGTTTTTCAAAATAAAAATAAATAAAAAATTATTCCAGCAGGAGAAAACTTGTCTGAAGTGTTATTAGGAGAAAAGCCTTTTTTTTCACCAGAGAATTTCGGTGGACCACGGGGTGGGAAACACTGAATATTAGATTATTAAATATTGCATAAAGCTTTCATCAATAAAACATACCTGAATTTTAACTATGAGGCGAGGAAATTTTACACTTCTCCATGTCATCTCATGTTTTTATCTATAGAGCTGTTCCAACGTATAACAGAAAACTACCACGAACAGAAAAATAAACAGAAAACAGTTTCAACAATTGCAATAAATTTCAAGAAAATTTGAAGAGAATCGAAAAGGATTTTCAACAAAGGAAGGGGACGGGGTTTCGTCGAGTACGATAAATAAATTTGACTGTATATGATTAAAAAACAAGCAAGTGAGTCGCACAAAGAGGACGTGATGGATTACATCGAACATCAGTGCTTATTTCCTCAAACCCACGATCATTTATTTTCTGATGGACGGGGTTCGGATTTTAAGTACTTCATACTTGAAAGACCCACTCCTTGGGAACTGAATGAGTGGGTAAAGAAAAAAATCATGGAAAATAAAAGGATGGAGGGCAACTCTTTTTTTCAGATAAAATTGTCGTAAGAATGCTTATGTGCGATTATAATTCAATATTTGTCTGCATGATTGCGACAAATTTTGATGCATTTAAGCTTCAGGATTCAATCTGATTTTACAAATACAGGATAAATACTCCACTGAGTGTTATGGTGTAATGCTGGTGAAAAATCCTTAAAGCAGTAATACGAGTAAAACGGGAAGCACATGATAAAAAATGAAGGTAAAACTCGAAAAAACAGATGAAGTGACAGGTTATATTCTTTTTTTTTTTTCAAAACCGTTGCTGATCGATGAAGTCCAAAATACTGCCTGGAAGGCAGAATTTTAGATAAATTTATTCAAAATGAAATATAATTTCTCACCCCCGCTCATCGCTGTTTAATAACCGATTACCACTGAGCTATTAATTGATACCAATGTCTCTCAAATATGGAGTTGAGCGGTTATTGGAAAAAGATTTCCATTGCAAAATTTGTTCAATATCTTGATCACGTGCGCTGCAGACCAGCCCAAAGATGACAATTTATAAATTGATAATTCTTCAGCGAATTCGTTGTCCATTTTCCCCCCGAAGCATCGCTTTTTACCTTCCACGACACCTTCATGAACGCAGCCCTCTGAGTTACAGTAAGGGTCACAATAAAGATTCGGAGTCCTTTTACGAACAATTTTTCTTTTGTGATCCCCAAGGGGGTGACGTCTAATGATGGAAAGGGGTCTGCTACAGGCTAATCGAGGTTTTCCTTCCCTCGGTCGGTAGATGACAATCGTCCTGCAGATTATCACAGCCCATTCATCAATGACTGATGACGGCCCTTCCGGGAAACTGAACTTCCGTCGAATTTATCTTACTGATTTCGTGTAACGTTTTGAATAATGTTCGCTTGATTTTTTTTTCCTGCTATTCATCTTTTCCAAAAGTCAATCCTCAGAGAGAGTCATCAGAGAAAAATTCTCTGGTTTGTTACAAATGATCATAGGCCAGCAAGTAATGCAGTTCTGGAAAAGACTCATCGCTGCTTTTTCGTCGTCATATTAGATTCCTTCCATGGATAAAGAAATCGAAAATACAGTAGCTTTATCTAAAAAACATATATTTTTCTCAATATAGTAGTCGAGTATTCTTAAACAGCAATGCATTTTATAGCAGCATCAGCTTTATAAGGGAGAACTAACAATAAATAAATAACTACAGAAAATGAATCATTAAAATTTAATCCAGGTGGTAAGATGGTAAAAACATTTTACGAATGCGCTCATATTCAATTTTCTGGGTCCAGTTGATCAAAATATAAACAACAGAAGTTCTGCAGCTCAGAAAATATTTTAATAATAAAAACAGCAGGTCCTGATTTATATAATGACTAATGAGGCGAGAAATCTGCATTAGGATGTATCTCCCCATGGAAAAGAGTGACTTTTTGAAGAAAAAATTCTGCATAAAAATTGATCTTCAAATAGAAATCATACGATGCCAACTTCGTATAATTATTAAGCATGGTGTGTTTTTCATTACGAAATTATCCCATGACGGAAACACCCTATATCCTTGTGCTGTTTTGTAGACAGAGATTTCTCGTTATGCAAGGACCGTTTGTGCAATACTTCAATGCTTCGTAGTGTGCATGTTGTAAACTGCTGATCACTTGAGTTTTTATACTATGAAAAGGAGGTATTGATCACAGGTAAAAAAAAAGGTTTGAATTGACACATCCATCATGTAAGATTTCTCTCACGTGGTAACTACACGCCGTGAATATTCCGAGTCTGTGTGCGAGATTAATTATAATTACGTAAACAGTCTCCACTCCCTCCGATTTTTTTTTGGAAAGCAACGATGATAAACAGCTGTTTTTCGCTGTGCGCAAAGAACAGACAAGAAATTCTTGGGTTGCGAAGTCGGAAATTCCTGGGTCTTGATGGATGATGATTCCGGTGCTGTCGAAATTCCCTAATCTGCCGGGAAAGCAATCAATTTTCTTGTGCTGGAAGCCAATCACCCAAAACACGCAGACGGGACCCCGCTTTTACAGTCGACAACACTTTCATGACCTGGTCGAAACGATCGCCTATATGCCCGGGTAATTCGCCGTTATGCGGGGGAAAGTTGTAATTTTTTGATTCCACCTCCAGATCGTGAGTGTTGTTTGATGGAGCAGGATAAGACAAAGGTATTTTTTCGCCACCGTTCGCGAGGAAAAAAAAATGTCTTCACATCTGCGAGTCGCTGCTATGTAGGAAAAAGGCGGGTTATTTACGACGAGTTTTAATTTCACTACTAAATACGCCTTGCCCAGAAATTCCGTCTTCATTCCGTTGAGAAAAAAAAACATGCAGCGGAATCGGTGACACAATTTTTGTCCACAAAGACAAGGAACAATTTGTGAAGTGCAGGAAGGAACACGGTCCGTTGGTGAGCAGATGACCTCACTCAAATTTTCCCACAGCAGTCAACTCTTTTGTTTACGAGGACGCACATTCGTTGAAGCGCAATACGCGTTGAACGAGACAAGGATTTTTTGCTTCCGACGTTAAAAGGGTGGGCCGAAAAAAAAAAGCTCGATACTGTTCTGCACGCTATTCTCACACAATAATGTGCTACTTATTTCTGTTCATTACATGAATAACCGCTGGATTTCTTTGAAATCTTATACAGTATTTTAAAGCTCTGCCAATGCTTACAAAAATTGACCTGTGATCTACAGTTCTACACTTTCTTTTTGCATAGCATTTCAAGTGATCAGCAGCTTAAAATATACAGCGAAGCATTGCATTTATGCAAAGATGGTTCTCGCATAACACAAAAAAATCTCTGTATACCACATAATGATAAAGGTTTTCGTCGTTGGAAAATTTTGCAATGCAAAACACACAACGCTCAATAATTATACGAAGCTTGCATCGTTTGATTTCGGCTTTTTCTCGTGCACTTCAAATCGTGTTCGCTTTGTTTATATTCCAAAATTATAGTCTCTTTTATAGAACCCGGGACTCATTAATTACAAAAATTAATGAAATATTTGATTTATCGAGTTTAGTATAAATATTTTTCATTCCAGAACTAAATATTACAGTAGGGCATTCAGCAACCATGAAACTCCCTCAGCAGAAACCCAGGTTTGGGAGCCATTTCATCCTAAGCAACAAAATTGAATTGAACAATACGAAAGTCAAGGAGAAAGGAAGAAATGTTTGCCAGAAAACCAAAAAGCCACTGTTGAATTGTATACGACTGTGTTTTCCAAAATATTAAAAAAGATTTCCTTGAAACTCCTATAGCCGGCTGATGCTCAGTGATTTTAAATGATCCCTGATTTTACCTGCCTTTCAATGATAGCCACAATACATCTCGGGGTTGCTGAAATAAAAATGATGTTCTGCTACCAAGATGAAAGCATTCATGCTTCATCACATCAACTTTGGAAAGAAAAAGTGGTGGCACACCTTTCGATCCTCTCCTACTGCTTCGTGGCACTACGTCATCTAATGCCCTTTTCCCTCCGATTGCAACACTATTCGATTACAGCTATTAAACGAAGTACGATTGGAATTATTGTACGATTTTTATGCGAGCTTTTTAAGATCGGTCGATCTGGACAATTTTACAGCGTTCAGACGATTTGTTCGCGCGAACCCACTATATCCGAGATTTTTCAAAGGATATACAAGTGTTCTTTCCTTGTTTTTGTTTTGTTTTGTTTTCGTTTTGTTTTTTCAGCGCAGAAGCAGCTTGTCAGGGCAGCCTTCAACTCCTTGTGACCTGGTGAACCCGACATTTCTTCCCACCATCCAGTGAGGACGAGAGAAAAGTGATTGTCCTCAGATACGCTCATTGCGGGTCCTTTGTGCAGTGGCCTGCGTGCTTCGGCCCTGACACCGCAAATTATCGGGTTCTTCCAGCGACTTGCTTGGAAGAGGGGTTTCTGAATTTGCAATGAATTGTACGGATTCATTATGCTCATTGCCGCAACCCGTGATGGCGCGCATAGCTCATCAATCTGGTCGTTTTGCAATCCACTTGAGCCCAGCTAACTTTTCTCTAGCTCCGATTGCATATCTTGGCATTTAAACTTGTGTTTATTTAGATTTGAAATAAATTAAAAGAAATTATTGTGGTTTCAAGATTCATCTGCGAACTTCCCCACGGAAAAAAGTCTAGCGAGATAAAAAAAAAAAAGGAAGAAAAAAAACAGGCAATCTCCATGGCAAACGAAAAAGGCTTCAAAAATTGTTGCAGTAAATACCTTGAGATTACGTTTTTATTTATTTTTGGATTGTGAAAGTTTGAAGTCAGAGTCTTTTCCAAGTTTCAAGTCTATAGCACCGCGATTTCGAAAAAAAAAACTCCTGAAGAAATGTACGGTATTTTTATTTTAAATCAAGGGAGTATCTTAAAATTAATTACACTTTTTGGGGTACTCAAGTTTCGAAGTCAGAGTTGTTCGAGTCGAAAAATGAACTCCTGAAGAAATGTATTTTCATTTTATAAGGATTATCCTAAAATCCACATACGACGACGCGTGATGGACGACTGTTTTGCATACGAATTTCAAGAAATCCATCATAGGTGGTATCATCATAAAATGTTCGAAGATGAACACTTTTAAATTGTATCGGGGTTGCCATATAGTCATGACATAAGCAATTTTTTGTCTAATACCGTATTTGAAACATTGCGTAAAAGCTTGACTTTCGGACATTCTCTTAGTATACAAGTTGACTTTTTTCTGTTTTCGATGAAATTCCTTTAACAACTGGAAAAATTTTACATTTTCCTTGAAATATACAAAAATGGTGTTCCTCTGTCGAAATTATTGCATTCATACCTATGAATCTAGCTTTATGACTCCGACCCGTGAAACAATAGACTGGTAAAACTGAACTTATGAAGAATCCCTTATAATAGTATTGTAAGGAGTCATAGACTCATTATACAACTCATCATTGAAATAAATGGGCCCTTTTCCGGCAGAAGCTTCGAGAAAAAGTTTAAGACATTTTTTTTTTCAACACGGCCTCGTTAAAGGATCTCCGGAAAAGTTTGGAAGTGTGATTTCTTTTTTTATTGTTTTTTTATTTTTTTGGGTGCGAAATAAGCGTAGAAACGAAATTCGCTCCAGGATTCGAAGAAAAGACCGCATTTTTCCCAAGTGGACAAAATGCATTCAGTCCTCTACAAATCCTTGATCGGATGCTTTTCTTCTCACAATGACAAACATTTCTCATCGTGGTATGCGGCAACCTTGTTAGTGTAACGCTTTTCTAATGCGAATTCAATGCCGAAGATCAGCGGACAAAAGCGGGTCGTTGAGAGAAGCGATTCGTTATCCTACTCCTCTTGTTGCCTTGCATATACTTGCTGACTTCATGGCTTTGATTCCAGAAATGTCGACAGATCAAGCTGACAAATCTACATGCATTGCGTTTCTCGGCAGCGTTGCGTATTTTCTTCGGGGCACGATAGCGCAGTTGTGGACAGCAGTCAAGTCACATGGTGCCCGAATTGGGATAAGAACTACATTATTTTTCGAAGCGAGTTCAAAGATGCTGCATCGATTTGAGATTCAGATCATGGCTTTGGGATTGACATTAGGATTCCGAAGGTCGCCATCCGCTTTTGGGGCCGATATGTCGCCACGCTGGGTCACGCGTGACCTAGCATCGAAAATATCTGCATTTTACCGGTCGATTCAGAATTCAAAATCCAGTCAACAAATGGAACG